AATCTGTGTCACGGCAGCGCTTTTTTTTCTGAACTGGCCGGTGCAGCGGCCTTCGCGCTGGCAGAAAGCAAGGCTGTATAAGTGCGAAGCAGGATAGCCTGTCTTGCTGGCTAGTGGGGCTTGTGCTGTGGGCTGGGTTTGGCTGCGGGCAAGGGAATGGGGTGGAGCGCCTGGCGGCCTGGGCGGTGGCGTGGGCCGCTTGGCGGAGCTGGTGGAGTGCTGGCCATGTCAGCCTGGGTCCTGAGCTGGACAGCCGTGTCCCCCTTCCCATGACCCAAGGGGCGATCAGAGACTTTCAGGGGGTGCACGTGCGCTCCTGGTCACCCGCATGCTTCACCACTGCCAAGAAGTCTGCTGTCTACAATATGTTAGCTACCAACTGCATTCATTATATGAAGAGTGAAGTGAAGACAGAAGTAAATGCATTAAATGCATTTAATACGTCTGCTTTCATGGCATCATTGAATTATGAATTATAGAACTGGAGGGGACCTGTAATATCAGCAAGGCCAGTCCCATGCTGTGGCTAGGAAGTTATTGGGCTGAGATGAACTTGACAAGTGCTTGTCTAGCCTCATCTTGAACACCTCCAAGGAGGGTGACTGCACCACCTTTGCTGGGATTGCGTTCCAGGTTCTGGTGATCCTTAGAGAGAAATGTTTTTCTCATGTCTAGCCTGAATTTACTCTCTTTTAGCAGAATGTAATAAATCATCTGTGACCAAATTGCTTTCTGCGTTTTGTTTGGACCTATGGCTTCTCTTGTCTTTCTCTTATTTTTGTCCTCCCTATATAATCCCTTCTTTATTGCCTTTTATGTTAAGTTTTTTATTGCCAGCTGCATCTCAAAAAGTTCAGTGGCCTCCCTGTGCTATACCCTTGCTTTCTTTTGTAATTATGACCATGTTTCCATTTTGGAAGGATTCCTTTTTGAGTTTCTACTCATTGAAGAGTTGGCTGTTCACCCAGACTTGTGGCCTGATATACTTCCCAATATATCACCGGGATCTCCCGGTGTAAAAAAAAACATGCCAGAAAAAAGCAGGCTGGCACATGTGGCATGCGCTGCCTGAAACCAGAGCCTGGCTGGCCGGAGCCACGCTCCAGCTGCCAGCCAGACTCTGCGTGCCTGGATTGCCATTACTGCAGCCCTGGAAGGCCAGAACCCCAGGTAAGGCTGCTGGGTTCTGTCTCCCCTACCCCACCTGAGGCAGCTTGCTGCGTCCCAGTGAGCAAGTGAAGGGGCGATCCCTGCGGACAACTAGCAGTGGCACACATATGTGCTGCTGTTATTTGTCTCCGGGGAAAAGCACATGCATGTTTGTCTGGACATGTCGCAGCTTTCCTGGCAATAATGGAATTAGGGCACCACAACAGGAGCAACTGTCCCTGACACCAACAGGGATTGATTGGTGAAATAAAAAAGCAGGTGCCTAGTCTAGCCACTTTCTTATACTGCTTTCTCTAGGACTCTTCACCTCAGACGTATTTCCCAGAGGATCCCATCCACCATTTCCCTTTGTCAGAGGCCTCTCCACTACCTATACAAAAAGTTATCTGCAACACACTCCAAGTATGTGATGTCCAATTCTGTGTTTCCTTCCCAGCAAATGTCACGGTAACTGAAGTCCTCCAGGAGAACTGGGTTTGTCATTTTGGAAGCTTCTGTTAGTTGCTTAAAGAAGGCCTCGTCCACCTCTTCCTCCTCCTCTTGTGGCTGATAGCTGGTGTCCGCTTTATGCTATGCCTCAGAACAAGCATACATTTCCTTTTGTGTGTAGGACAATACCTCCTCGGTTTTTTTTTCCCATACCCATTCTTCCTGAACAATTTATACCCGTCCATGACAAAAACCCCAGTCATGTGAACTATCCCACCACCTTCCTTATCCCAATTACATCTCAATTCCTTGATCGTAAGAGGACCACCTTTTCTTCCTGCTGTGTTCCCCATGCTTCTCGAATCAGAATAGAAACATTTCCTAGGGAGAGGAGCACAAAACAAAGAGCATCAAGTCAAACTGCTTAGCTCTCGGTGAAGAATGAGCAGTAGGGAGTAAGTGCTACTTATTTATAGACCTGTAGTCGTGGCCGAGTGGTTAAGGCGATGGACTAGAAATCCATTGGGGTCTCCCCGCGCAGGTTCGAATCCTGCCGACTACGTGGTGCGTTTTGGGAAGCAGCTACTGCACGCTTTTTTGGCTTGGCCAAACCCCGCCTGGGTGCTGCACAAATATGCCAGCCCGTCCTCAAGCTTGGTCGTGCACAAATGCATAGGCAAGAGCCCTGGGGAGTCAACCCTGGGCACGTGGGAAGCGGATCTCTGGTTTCCCCTTCCCGCAAATCAAAGACGCAGCCTCTCCGGGCGGGCATCCTCTGCCACGTTGTGGGCGGCGGCGCGGGAAGGGCCGGGAGGCGGTGCGGTGCGGTGCACGCCGACCCTGCAGCGGAGCGGAGTAGGACTCTGGGAGCCGGCGCCGTGGCTTAGCTGGTTAAAGCGCCTGTCTAGTAAACAGGAGATCCTGGGTTCGAATCCCAGCGGTGCCTTCTTCTCCCGCCGTTTCGCCTTTTGCAAGAGCTGAGGGTCCCTCTCCCGCCCTGCGGGGCTAGCTCCGCTCCCCTCCTCCCGTACAAAACCTTCCTTTTTGCCTCTCCCAATGAACTGGCAGCCTTAATAGAATAGCGTATGAATGATGAAATGTGCTTGCTAGACTAGAATTGTCTGGTATCTCTTCCTTCCCTTGCGCTGCGGCTCCCTCTGCCCTAGCATTTTCCGGGCGGAGAAAAGGCAGAGGAAGATTTTCCCTCACCAGGAAAAGGGCGAAAAGCAGCCCGTGGCCCGTACGGGGATCGAACCCGCGACCTTGGCGTTATTAGCACCACGCTCTAACCAACTGAGCTAACCGGCCACTGATATAGTCATTGCTGCGCGCGGCCCCCAAGAGCTTCGGTAGCGCCAGCGGTCTGGGTAGGGGGAGCTGGGGCTTGGGGCTCCGCTGCTGCTCCGAGCAGAGTGCTAGCTGGGCTCCGGGGCTACTGTGGGGTCCGCACCACTGGCAAGTGCCCAGCCCGACTGGGCAGCCGGGAGCGGGGCAAGCCCCGCGTGTCTTCTGTCCTCTCTTATTGTACCAGTAGGTGCAGCCAGGGCTCGCTCTTATGGAACAGAAAAGGTCTGGTTTTCCGGGCCGAATGCTTTGTGGGTGCGGAGTGGGCACATATTGCACCTCCTTCACACGTGCAGCTTTTAAACCTTTGGACAAAATAACCCCAAATAAACCAACCCTAGACGACGGACTTTTCGGAGCAAGACAAAAGGCTAATGTCAGGAGTGGGATTCGAACCCACGCCTCCAGAGGAGACTGCGACCTGAACGCAGCGCCTTAGACCGCTCGGCCATCCTGACAGCTACTGGTAAGTGCTTATGACTTGTACTTAATCGTTTATTGACACACTTAATCTGTCAATACGGCAAATTTCTCGGGTCATTGAGTCCAACCCCCCTGCTCAAAGAGCGTCCTCCGCTAGATCATCCCAGCCAAGGCTTTGTCCACCCGAGTCTTAAAAACCTCTAAGGAAGGAGATTCCACCCCGCTCTGGGGAGCCTATTCCGGAGTTTCACTGTTCTCCTGCTGAGAAAGCTTTTTCTAACATCGGACCTAGACTCTCCCGCTGCAATGCTGATTTCTTGTCTAAGTCGCGCCTACAGCCAGCCGAGCTACAGCTGCCGGCAACTCTGATCCAGCCTTTCCAGCTATTCCGTTTGCAAGGTCAGCCAGGCACTGCAGCCCTGCGAAGCCAAGGCCCTGGTTGCAAGCCTCAGCGCTTGCCGGGCTCCCTGCAAAGCACGGGGCTTTCCCGGCCCTACTGCAGGAACAGAACGCCCTGAGAGCCGGGCCGAAGTGAGGGGGGACCTCACCCACTTGACCCCACCTCTTCCCCGCCGTTCCAATTCGGAAGCGGACGGCCAAGCGGGAGAGGGGGTCGCAGCGATTGGCTGCCCGCCTGCCGGGGCGGGGCTAGCACTCGGGATTGGCCTATTCCAAGCGCGGGAGGGGCGGGGTTTAGGCAAACCGGGTCTTCCGGGAAATGTGCCGGCATTTGGTTTTGGCCGGGGGCTATGGAGGCTGTGCGGTGCGTTGGGCACGGTGAGGAGACGGGCGTTCCATGGGACGGGGGGAGGAACGTTGGGGGGACGGGGGTTCGATGGGGC